TACATGTTATTGTGTGTAATTGTTTTTTAAATTAGTTAAGAGAAGGAGATACTATTCATTTAAATTGTCTTCTACGACACAATTACAGTTACTGGTGTTTTCATTTTTTTGGATTGAATTACTATCTGGGATCATTTCCTTTCAGCCTAAAGAACTTTGTTTAGTATTTCTTATTTAAGATAGGTTTGCTGGCAACAAGTTCTCTCAGTCCTTGTTTATCCAGAAGTGTCTATTTTGCTTTCGTCTTTGAAGGATAGTTTTGCTGGATTATAGGACTCTTGGTTGACAGCACTGCCTTTGAGAGTGACCAGATCTTGCATTTATCAGAAAAAGACTTTAAAGTAACCATTATAAACATGTAAAAGAGAAATGAAAGGAACCATGATTAAAGAAATAAAGATTTGAGCCCTGGCTGGTTTGGTTCAGTGGTTAGAGTATTGGCCTACACACAGAAGGGTTGAGAGTTTGATTCCTGGTCAAGGACATGTACCTCGGTTGCAGGCTCAATCCCCGGCCCTGGTTGGGGCGCGTGCAGGAGGCAGCCAATTGATGTGCCTCTCTCACAATTGATGTCTCTCTCTGTCCCCCATCCCCCCTCACCCTCTTCCACTCTAAAAATCAATGGAAAAAATATCCTTGGGTGAGGATTAACCAAAAAAAAAAAAGAAAGAAAGATTTGATGATAATGTTGCATCAAATAGAAAATGTCAATAAAAAGATAGAAATTATTAAAAATTAACCAAATAGCCTGGCCAGCGTGGCTCAGCAGTTGAGCATGGACCTGAGATCCAGGAGATTGCGGTTCAATTCCCAGTTAGGGCACATGCCCAGGTTTCGGGCTCAATCCCCAAAGGGGGACATGCAGGCGGCAGCTGATGAGTGACTCCCTCATCACGGATGTTTCTCTCTCTCTCCCCCTCTCCTTCCTCTCTCTGAAATCAATAAAAAAATGTATTTTAAAAAAATGAACCAACAGCCCTGAACCAAACAGTTTGGCTCAGTAGTTAGAGCATCAGTGAACCAAAGGGTCACTGATTTGATTCCCGGTCAAGGGCATGTACCTTGGTTGCGGGCTGGATCCCCAGCCCTGATCCTGGTGCATGCAGAAGGCAACCAATCAATATGTCTCTCACATCTATGTGTCTTTTTTTCTCTCTCCCTCCCTTTCTCCCTCCCTCGCTCCCTCCCCTCTCTCTAAAAAATGAATGGAAAAAGTATCCTCAGGATTGAAAAAAAAAATGAACAAAATAGATGTTCTGAAGTTGAAGAGTATTATTAAAACATTCACTAGAGGGACTCAACGGTAGATGTGAATTGGCAGAATAAGACTTAGCAAACTTTAAGATAGATTGATAGATATGCAAGCTGAAGAACAGAGAGAAAAGAATGAAGAAAATGAAGAGAGTCTTAGAGAAATGTTGGGCATCACTAAGTGAACCAATATACATGTAATGGGAGTACCAGAAAGAAAGGACAAAGAGGAACAGAAAGAGAGCCAAAGAAATAATGGCTGAAAACTCCCCAGATTTACTAAAGAACATCACCTTCACATCCAGGACTCTCTAACTGAATTCCAAGTCAGATAAATGTAAAGAGATCCACAGACACATCATTGTAAAAATGCTGAAAGTCAAAGACAAGGAGAAAATCTTGAAAGCAGCCAGGGGAAAATGACTCCTTACTTACCAGGGAAGCCCAATAAAATATCCACTGACTTATTAGCAGAAACAGTGGAGGCTAGACCACAGTGGGTACATTTAAATATATTCAAATTTCTCAAAGAACCAGTTTACTTTTAAAACCATGTACATTGTTTTGATAGAAAAAAAAATGGTAAGGATGAATGGAAGGGTAAGTAGGGATAGTGAATACAGATATCTCTTTCAAGAAGTTTAACAGCAAAGAAAAGGAAATATGATACTTATGTAATCTTAACACTTTTACTTTATGTATATTAACTAATTTATGAACTGTATGAAGTAGGTACTGTTACTACCCCCGTTTTACAGCTAAGGAAACTAATGCAGTTCTCATAGTAAATGGCAGAGCTGAGATTTAAACCCAGGCTGGACAGCTCCAGAGTCCAAGCCCTTAACACTCGGAGGAAGTAGGTGAAGAGCTGAGAAAGGGTTTGTTTTGTTCTTCATTGGTTGTAGGAAAGACATAAGCAAGATCTAGCCAAGAAAATGAATAATTGGGCTGATCACTGTGAAAGGAAAAGAAAGCAGAGGGAGCTTGAGAGTGTACACGAGTGTGTCTGAGAGATGAGCTGGGATCAGCTGGTTAGGAAGGGGGAGCTCGACAGATTTCTTGAAGAGCAAGAAAATGAAAGGGTCCAGGAGGGAGCGGGCAAGGTGGAGGGAAAGGAGAGGTCAGGGAGGGAGTGGGCAGGGTGGAGGGGCAGGAGAGGTCAGGGAGGGAGTGGGCAGGGTGGAGGGGCAGGAGAGGTCAGGGAGGGAGTGGGCAGGGTGGAGGGGCAGGAGAGGTCAGGGAGGGAGTGGGCAGGGTGGAGGGGCAGGAGAGGTCAGGGAGGGAGTGGGCAGGGTGGAGGGGCAGGAGAGGTCAGGGAGGGAGTGGGCAGGGTGGAGGGGCAGGAGAGGTCAGGGAGGGAGTGGGCAGGGTGGAGGGGCAGGAGAGGTCAGGGAGGGAGTGGGCAGGGTGGAGGGGCAGGAGAGGTCAGGGAGGGAGTGGGCAGGGTGGAGGGGCAGGAGAGGTCAGGGAGGGAGTGGGCAGGGTGGAGGGGCAGGAGAGGTCAGGGAGGGAGTGGGCAGGGTGGAGGGGCAGGAGAGGTCAGGGAGGGAGTGGGCAGGTTGGAGGGACAGGAGAGGTCAGGGAGGGAGTGGGCAGGGTGGAGGGACAGGATGTTGTTTTCAGAGAGGGTGGGACATTGGCTTTGAAGAGTTTACAGATGAAACTGAAGAAAATACACCCATGTACTCACGCGCACACACACACATCTAGATGGGTATTTCCCAACATGTTATCAAGAGTTTTGGGACCTTCTTTGTTTTCATTTTTGCTCAACTACTTTTCTAATTTGTCTTCAATTAATTTGTGTTGCTTCTGTAATAAAAGGCACGATGAAAGTTGCTAAAGCATCCAGAAGTGAGGGAGTCCCAGATCATGACAAGGGCCAGGGTCTGCTCATGGGAAGGTTTGCTGACATGGGACAGAGAAAGGTCTGTGGAGCTGAGGTGGTAAAGAAATATAAGTTATGACATCAAATAGTCCCCATGCATACCAGAGTTTTCGTGTATACTGGGGTTGCACTTCTGTGAATGCAGTGAGGGGGGTTGAGCAGCAGGCCGGTAGACCCGGGGTTGGGAAGGACAGAAAATGGTGTCCCCAAAAGGCTCATGCCTTTCCTTTCCTCTTTCATCTTCAATCGTAGCTATCAGTGCTCGCACTGCCTCAGCCCTAGAATAAGGCGGTCGCATTTTAGCTGGGCTGTTGCCTGCTTCTTCCTACTCCATCCTACCCAGAGCTGTGAAGAGTAACCTTCCTTAAGCAGTTTTTTGGGAAAAAGTTCCATCCTTGTTCAGTAATCTATAATGGCTCTTGCTTGCTTGTTTAAAGTAAACTTTGAAAGCCCATTTCATCCCAGGTTCCCCTGCCCCAGCTTTCAGCGCCTCTCTGAGGTTCTTCATCTGTAAAATAGAGATGCTGCTCTGCCTCGCCTGTTAGAATGAATTAATGGGGGAAATGGTGCTATAGAAAGGATTCTTTCTCATTTCAACCTGATTTCTTAATATTCCCCAATTAAGTCTTCTACTTCAGTAGCTTGTGTTTTTTTAAGAGCTTTTATTTTGAAATAGTTTTAGATTCACAGCAGGTTGCAAAGAAATGTTCAGGGAAGTTCCCGGTACCCTTCTCCTTATGTTAATGTCTTAAATAATTATAGTACAATATCAAAACCAAGAAAACGACATTGGTACAATCGAGAGAGCTTATTTGGATTTCACCACTTAGACATGCACTTGCGTGTGGGTGTGTCTGTGTGTGTGCGTGTGCAGTTTTACCACGTGTGTTGCTTTGTATAACCACTGCCACAGCCAAGATGCAGATGGCACTATCCCCACAGTGCTCCTTCGTGTCACCTGTATGGCCACACCATCCCCTCTGACCCATCCTTAAAGCCTGGCCTCCATCTCTACAGTTGTTACGTGTGAATATTACATAAATGAAATCATGTATGATGTATCCTTTTGATTTTGGCTTTTTTTTAATCCTCACCTGAGGATTTTTCCTTTGCTTTCCAGAGAGAGTGGAAGGGGAGAGAGAGAGAGAAACATCGATTGGTTGCCTCCCACACACGCCCTGACCAGGGCTGGGGATCGAGCCTGCAGCCGAGGTACGTGCCCTTGGCCGGAATTGAACCCGAGACCCTTCAGTCCGCAGGCCAGTGCTCTCACCACTGAGCCAAACCGGCCAGGGCCGATTTTTGACTTTTTTATTCAGCATAATTTCCTTGAAGTTTATTCACTTAAGTAGTTTTGTTTAATTCTGTTTGAAACTTGTTCATTTCCCCTCTGCCCTTGTAAATGCCTTTTCCCCTTCTAGAATACCCTATAGAGTGCTCGCTGCTAGTGCCTAAGCCTGTCGGACCCATCTCAATGCTGGTGTCAGTTATGTACACCTCATGCCGTAGCATCTCCCACTTGCAGTGGAGGGCAGAGAGCAGGTCCAAATTATCTTTATATTCCCGGCACCTGGTACAGGCCTGAACTGTAGGAGGTACCCGGTAAATTATTTTTTGGATGAATGAACGGTTGAGGTTCCCCATTTGGTTCTTATATTGTTTCTTCGGTATATGTTGTCCCCCGCCTAGACCCTAAGCTAGAGTGTAAAGTACCTGAGAGCAGCCACTGCGTTCCACGTCTCTGTGTACACGGGGCGTTCCTGTGGGGCTTCAGTGAGCGCGCGCCTTTGTGTGTGTGGGGATGAAGTAGGTGTAAGTGTTTATGGGCTGGTTTCCCGCTGCCCAGCCTGACCTCCTACAGTCAGCAGGATGGACCTGGAGGTGTCGGGGCTGAGGACCCTGGAGCATGTGGCAGTGACAGTCTCCATCACTCACCCGCGACGTGGCAGCTTGGAGCTGAAACTCTTTTGCCCCAGTGGCATGATGTCCCTTATCGGCGCCCCCCGCAGCATGGACTCGTACGTATACCTGCCCGTGCCTGCTGAGCTCTCTGTAACAAGGGCCTCTTCAAGGGAGAGAGAATTGGATGCTGGCACTGTGCTGAGGTACCATGGCATGGCGACCTTGCAGCTGGGAGCCAGTTGCTATGGGCTTTCCACAAGTGCTCACAATGTGCTAAGCACAGCACTTTATACATATGTTCTCTAATCCTCATAAGGCCAGTGCAGAGTAGCATTTGTAACCCCTTTTACAAATGAGGAACAAGTCACAGTGCCAGTTAGTGCCTGAGAAAGTCACGCTAAACCTGGACCTGTCAGACTCCCAGCCTGTGCTCGCCCTGCCTTGCTTCCGCCACAGCACACTGACGTAAGGCCCTCGGCCCATGAGCTCCCGGGGCAGGGGACAGCACGGGAGGGCCCCTCAGGCATCCCCCCAAATGGCTGTACTCAGGCAACAGCTGCTCCATTTTCATGGCTGCTACAGTAAGAAAAGGATGTTTCTGGCAACAGGGTCCGTTCCCTGCTCCATGCCTTCCAGGTTTTCTGTGCTCTTCCCCAGGGACCCCAACGGCTTCGACGACTGGACCTTCTCCACTGTGCGGTGCTGGGGGGAAAGGGCGAGAGGGTCCTACAGACTCGTTGTCAGGGATGTAGGTGAGCCTACACACCCTCCCATCGGGCCCTGCCTTTTGTGGTTGCCATCTGCTCCCTCTGGATCTGAGTCTCCACAGAAACTGTCCATGTGGAATACATGGGGTTGCCATTGGACCAACTGGGTAGACCAAGAAGTAAGCCCCGTCCAAAAAGTGGGCATTGTATCTAAAGTGTTCATTTGTGCTGCCTCTCATGTTCCTGAGCTTGACTGGCCTACTTTTCCTCAAGGTGGCAACAAAAACTCAACCACATTCCAAGTCCTTTCACATACAGCCACCCTTTGGCCAGCCCTGGTAGGCAGGTAAGGGCAGGGCTAATTTTCACCATTGTTTTGGAAAAACAAGCCCGCCTAGATGTCTGAAGTGATTTGTGAGTAACCGGATTTCAGTGAGGGGACAGGAGACTGGACCCACCCTCACCCTCACCTTCCAGTCCAGTTAGGTCTTCACTAGACAGGTGGTTTTCAACCCTTTGATTTAGTAGGAGGACTTTTTCCCCCAAGCAAAATCCCAGCTAAAACCTCAAAACATGAAAGAAAGGCAAAACTTCTCTGGTTCAGTGTCCCACCTTTCAACCCCCCTTCCATCCCAAGGGGACCCTGTGAAGCAGGTCTACGGAACCCCAGGCTCAGCGGGACACAGGGAGACAGCTCCTGTGGCCAAGTCCCTTTACGTGGCGGGACAGGGAGGGTCTCCGCTATCCATGTGGCCAACAGAAAAGCAGGGGCTCATGGCCTGCCTCACTTGCTGCCCTAGGAGATGAGCCGGTGCAGGCTGGCACCCTCCGGCAGTGGCAGCTGATCCTGTATGGCTCTGCGTGGAGTCCGGTGGACATCAGAGACAGACAGAGGTAGGTATAGACACGTGTCAGGGAAGGCAACTCATGGGGATAGGGAGAGGCCACTCGGGCGCTCCACCCCCCTGGGAACCTTCGTGCACCCTCCCCTTTTTGTTGTGGGGCCTCTCTCCTTTCAGCTCTAAGAGGGGAGGGTGGGGAGGGCAGATGGTTCCAAGTTCAGCCGGGCAACCCTGTCTCTTGTTCACCACAGACTAATAGAAGATGCCATGAGTGGGAAATACCTGCATGAGGGCTTCACTCTGCCCTGCCCTCCTGGGCTCAAAATTCCTGAGGAAGACGGCTATACCATCACCCCTAACACCCTCAAGGTACCAGAGCTGGGACTCATACTGGGGGGCAGGAGTGTCTGGGGGAGTCAGTCCTTGGAGGGATAGACAAGGAGGTGGGAAGACTGGGGGCGCCCCTCTGCTGGCTGACTCTGAGAGCACTTCCTCTGTATGTAGGTGAGTGGTTTGGGGTGGGAGAGGCAGTCCCCAGTAGGAGAGAGACTTTCTAAGCTCATCATTCTGGGCTGAGAAAGGCCACAGGCTTTGGGAAACTGTCCCTAACTTAGGTGTGGACTTTTCCCTAGACCCTGGTGCTGGTCGGCTGTTTTACCGTCTTCTGGACTGTTTACTATATGCTAGAAGTGTACCTGAGCCAGAGGCATGTGGCCTCTCACCCAGTTTGTAGGAGTCGACCCTACCACTGGCCCCAAAGAAGCCGAAAAGCCAGGGAGGAGGACACAGAACTGGAATCAGCGCCACTTTGCAACAGCAAGGATCCAGGTGGAGTGGAGATGGAGGGTGCAGGCCCTCCCACCACCGATGGTCCCCTGGCCACAGACATGCAGCGGAGGGAGGAGCAGGTCTGCTGACCCCGGCCTCACAGACCTAGCTGGGGCGGCTCCTCTTCCCACC